TTACCCTTGTTATCATCAGTAGCAGGTGCTGCCCCATCTTAGCTACTCTCCCCCTCCTCCTTTGGGTGCTTTCCACCCCTGACACCCTGTAAGTTGGCAAGTGATCCATGCAACAAAGATGAGACCAGATGGACGTCCACCACACCTGGGTGACTATTAATTCACAAAGTGTTAGATACCCCGCTGATCATGATTGGACCATATTTATGAAGTACTTTGCATTGTATAAAGTGACTACAAAGCTCTTTTGCACAAGATGCCACAATTCAGGAAAAAAAAATTGACTTTCTTTCATTTATGGAGGAATTTGCAATTATTCTTTGAGTCTTATGAACTCCCCAGTTAGTCAGGAAATCTAGAGCAAATCTCTAGATGTTTAAGCTCTTGGAAAATAAAGTGACTCTACAAAAATGAAGATTTTTTTTTTGAAAGTATAAACTAAGTGATACCAAGCTGTCAGTTACTTAAACGTGGGCCAAAAGTCATTAAAATAAAACAAGCTGATCATCCTCAAAGTACTTCTCACTTACGTCCTTGAATTTCCACAATACATTAATGTAGGGATTACTCTTATCTGCAGACAGGAAGGGGGACTGAAAGAGTAAAATTAACTAAGTGGTCGGCAAAAAGAACGTGTTAATAACAATAATTTCTGCCACTAACCTCTCTTGGTCTTACTTAATGTGAACTTCAGTGGTTTCATCTGTAAGGTTGTGATATCCAGGAGCACATCACAGGAAAGCAATCAAAATGTATGATGGTGGTGGTGATGATGATGATGATGATGATGATGATGATGATGATGATGACTATGTAACAGGCTCTGTGAAAAGAGCTCTCATTTTAACCTCACAGCGCTCTATGATGTGGCCCCACTCTGGCCATCTTAAACGGGAGCGCTAAGGATTGGAGCAGCTCAGTAACATGCTCAGAGTCACAAGAGTAAAGTTTGTTTGGTCTTCTCCAGGGACATACCTCTCTCTCTCCCTGTCTCCTGGTCTTGTGGAGTCAGAACCACTCTGACAACATCATGGCTCCTGCATTCTGGTGGGCAGTAGATGGCTGGGAGGAGGCGAGTTATTACTTCTTGGTATGGTTGCCGGCCTGAAGCTAGGCACCAGCTAAATAATTCAACTTTTCCATTAGGTTTTACCACTCCCAGTTAATTTTTAGAAAA